CGTCCTCCCGCACCCGCGCAGCTCTTGCACCCATCGCTCGAGCGAGGACGGGGGCCATTGCTGCAAGAGAGTCCTGGCCGACTGGACCGTCGCGTCCAGCCTGGCAAACAAGCCCTCGCCAGGGCACGGTTCATTTAAAAGTTGCTGCACCTGCTGAGCGGCGTCACTCGCCAAGCTCTCGCCCCGCACGGGGTCCGTCGCAGCGTCTTGCACGGCCGCCAGCAGCCGTGTCGCCACGCCGAGAGTCTCTGAAACATGCTGCGAAAACCAAACCCATCCGTGGCTAACCAGCTCGGTGCAAGCACTTTTAGGGGTAGAAAAGATAGGGACCCAAACAGCTTTAGGCGTCACACCTTTGAGCCCTTTATCCTTAATCGGCACCCCCAGGAAACTTTCAAGTTCGAGCTCCAAGCAATTAGAGAACGCCTGCCACGCCTTCGTGAGGAGTTCCCAAGCGAATCCGACGGGGCTCTCGAGGGCAGCTCGGGCCGCGGTTTCGGCCATATCTCTCGGGGCGCTCCAATCCTGTGGCTGAGGCTGCGGACCGTATGGTAGCTCCACTGGGAGTCTCTGGCGACAACGGTACACTAGCTGATGCAGACGCGCGGCCTGATCATTGAGCTGCAATCGCACTGGGTGGCGCGGTCGGGTGCTCCAACTACGATCACACTCGACCTTGCTGACGGCTCGCGTGAAAGCCGAGCTGCACAGGAAGAAGTCGATAGTGCTGAGAGCATTGGCACTGACACAAGTCTTACCTGGGGGAACAAAAAGGAGCGAGCCGAGACGCCGCGCCAGTCCAGACATTTCAACCAGAGCAGGGTCCAAATTCCAATCCCCCCCGACGACAAAGAGCTTGTCGTGCCCTAAAGCACGACCGATAGCTTGCAGAAAAGACACGTTCAAATCACACATGCCAGTGCCGCTCTTCAGATACACACAGACGACGGACAGAGGGGGCCACTCAGGGATGTCAACAACCACTTTCATGACTCGAGACGGCACGATGACGCCGCCGCAGACTGGCCATCTTAGGCCGATATGGGACCGCACAAGAACCGCAACCCCCCATTTGGGCCTACCCTTGGCCCCAACCGTCGACGGGGAGGCCGGCATTTTCCACCCCCAACTTACCCACAGCCGCGCACTTCTCACCCAGGGAGTCCTCAGTGAACCCCACCTCTTGGGCCAGAAAAATGAGGGCCGAACTGACCGCCAGCCTGTCCCTCAGGGTCCCCCAAGAGTTGCCGTTATAGGACTCCATCACTTCACCATAGCCAGACGAGCCCTCACAATCGGGGTCGAGGCGAGGAGGAGCGGGGGAGGCTGCACAGTGCCTGCGCGCGTCAGGCGAAAACCACAGCATCTAGGTAAAAGTGGCGGGTTACCCCAAGCGCTGCCGCTTGGCCAGCAGCTCAGCAAGCTGCTCGTGGAAGATCCGCTTGTCCACGCGCTGCGCGGCCCAGAAGAGCGCGTCCATCTCCTGGTCCAGCTCGGGGTCTGGTGGTACTTCATGATGCAGTCCACCGAGGTCACCTCCGCCTCCAGCTGCTCGCGCTGCATCGCCAGCTGCGGCTGGTGAGGGTGTGCTTGGCGCAGCTGGAGGGGGAGTCCTTGTTCCATCGTGGACGGCAGCGGCAGGGTGGGTACCGCTGGCAGTAGCTGTATCGCGTGCCGCTGCAGGTGACCCGCTCCGCTCGCCCATACGAACATCACCATCTTGATCGAAGGGCGAAGTAGCAGCACGGGAACTGTTCTGCTTCGCCTTGGCCTTCCTCGCGAGGGCCTCCTGGTAGAGCTTGAAGTGGGAAGACTGAAAAAGTGCATCCAGCTGAGCCTGCTCATCATCATTCTCCGCCAAGTCCTGCATATCGAGCCCGACATCTTTCTGGGCCACCGAGGGTGGGAGTGTCGCCACGAGCTCACCACGTAGCTGCTCCACCTCCTTAGACGCCAACAAGTGTTGCGATTGCAGGCTGTCCAACTTCTCCTGAGCCAAACGAAGAACGTCGAGCTGTTCGGAGACTTGAGCTGATATCTTCTCGATCTTGGCCTCAGCCCGCTGCAAACGGTGCCCAATGTTGGTGTGGACCGTGAGCTTAGGCTTGAGGCTAGATAACTGCTTGCGCGCCTCAGCCAACTGCGCATCCAGAACAGCCTTGGCCTCATCGCTGTTGGGCACCTTCTCCACCGCGGTGCGGGCCTGTTCCAGCTGCTTGATGTTGTCACGTAGCGCTTGTTCCTTACGTTCACCTTCACTCGGTTCTGGGGGAGCACCAGCGCCGACAGGAGGCCCGCCAGCATTGTTAGTACTACCGCCATTGCCGTTCCCAACCAATGTATCATACTTCTTCTGGAGTTCGGCAAGCTGCTTGGAGAGCTTTGCCGCTGTGATGCTGCCAGTGCGAGCCCCGAGACCCTGACGAGGCTGCTGACCACCAGCAGTAGTACGTTGAGCATGCTTTGCGTTCCCGCGGGCTGCCCTGGCCACCGCCGCGGGGGCGGGTTTGCCGCAGCGACAGACCAGGCGCGAAGCCCAGTTTGACGAGAGCCCACACGAACACGACCAGAATGGAGTGCGCGGTCCTGGCAAGACATCGACACCATCTGCCATGGAGCGCTCCACTGGCGCGGAAGAGGATGCCTCAGGGAGGCGCAAGAACGCTGTTGCCACAATGACTCGCAGCAGCGGCTGCCGCTCTGAAGACTGCTGCTGCAAGCCCAAAAACTTGGGCCAGAACGGCTCCACCGCCCGAGGAGGGAGGCGGAAAGGAGGAGGAGGAGGAGGAGGAGGAGGAGGCGGAGGAGGCAGAGGAGGAGGAGGAGGAGGAGGAGGCGGAGGCTGGCCGTGCTTGAGAGCGGGGAAAACCTCTCGGGGCGAGCGTGGGCCCTGGCGCGTGGCCGGCCCGTGGGCGCGCTCTGGCCGCGGCAAGACGCAACCCGCCGCGCCGCCACAGCGACGCGGACGCCGCAGCTGCCTCCTGCCGTGCACTTCCCCTGGCGTCGGGCCCCTTCTGAGCGTCGCCCGGGTCTCGTGGCGACCTCTCTTCACCACGGGGGCTCCCGCCAGAAGTCTGGACCCCCCCCTCCCCCTCCTCCTCCTCCTCCTTCCCTCCTCCTCCTCCTCCTCCTCCTCCTCCTCCTCCTCCTCCTCCACCTCCTCCTCTTCTCCTCCTCCTCCTCTCCTCCTCCCCCGTCCTCCCCTCCCCCTTCCCTCCCCCTCCCCCTCCCCCTCCTCCTCCTCCTCCTCCTCCCCTCCTCCTCCTCCTCCTCCTCCTCCTTCTCCAAGCGAGTAGCATTCAGCAGCTAGTCGCTCGCGGAGGCCGCCTCAGCCATCCCGTCCTCGCAGTCGTCATCCTATTTCTCACCACCCTCGTGCACTACCCCGCACCGTCAGCCCTCTGCAACTCTCCCTTGATCCCACTCCTCTTAATCACCTTCCTCCTCCTCCTCCTCCTCCTCCTCCTTCTCCTCCTCCCCCCAGCGTCCAGCAACTAGCAGCTGAGATCCCCCCTCCCCCCTCTCTCTCTCTCTCTCGCTACGTGCGGGGTCCATGTGTCCATATGCACATCATTATACACATGCACACTTATTGCACAACCATGCATATACGGCATCGGCGCGTGTGATAGCACATGTATACGAGAACTGAGTGCGCACTTCGCGCACTTGAGTTTTGATCGAGCGCATCTGCAACGGGCGCGTCATGCATAACAGACATGGGTGCTCAAACTGGTGAGCGGCCCGCACGAATATAGACTACGCGTGCTGAAGAACACCACATCGACAAGTTCAAGGCTGCTTCGAAAGAGCTTACGGGGCCCTTGAAGCAACCTCACACACACAAACCTCTGGGGCTGTCCTGGGAGATCGGGGCCGTTGCGAATGTCTATTGGGGCGTCGACAGTCCCTCTCGGGAACATCTTGAAGCAAATGGGGGCTCTCCTGGGTCTTCTTGGCACTGTCACGGGCGCCACTCAGGTTCTGGATCAACTAATTCGCCAATCCAACTCGACCCCGCTTCTATCGAAGACATACTCCGCCCATCTCAGTAGAGGCACCGGGACAGGCTTACGTACTAAAGGAATATCCTCAGCCCGCGCCTCAGAAAACCGATTATGTTGACGCTGCGCAAGACCCTAAGACAACACGTGGTGTTCGCTTAATGGGCTCCCAGGAGCTTCCTTGGGGTGTCTTGGGCGCTTCTTGGGCCGTCTCGAACATACCTCGGGTCGGTGCGTCCACGTGCTGGAGCAGTTCGTGGAAAGCCAGCAGTTGCAGCTGAATCTGCTGATGCCGCTCCAAGCCGTCCCCCCCCCTCCTACTCACCTTCCTCCCCTGTCCTCGTCGTCGTGTCGAAGCTGCTCGAGAGGTCTCTGGGGCCCCCCAGCGTGTCCTGCCGCGCTCGTGGGCCACCTGGCGACCTCTCCGACTGTCTTGGGGGGCCATTTTGTGGAGCCAGCCAGATCCGCGTTGGGGAGCCACATGGGGCCTCCTTCTTCTTCCTCTTTTTCTTCTTCTTCTTCTTCTTCTTCTTCTTGGGGGCTCCCTCCCCCACCCCCCAGCTCGACCCCCAGTACGATTCATCAGAAAAACAAGTCCGCAGATCCTTCGGGGGGTCCATCCCTGTCGCCTTTCATCCAGGAGCGATGTTCGACCGTCCTGGGGCCCGAGCCGGGGCTCCAGACGATGAAGTTGATAAGCAAAGGCGTCTGGCCCGATGCTGGTCGATCCTTCCCGCCCCCCTCCTCCAGCCTGCCCTCCCCCGACTGAGGGTCAGGCGTTCCCCGATGACATACAAAAACGCATCTGCGTGACCAGAAACATTCGGAGGTCCGCGGGTATTTCTTGCATCGGCGCTAGATCTCCCCCTCACGCGCGGAACGCGCTAGGGGCGGAGCTGGAGGCCCCTCCAGGGGGGGTCCAGTACCGACGCAAGAAGTCCGAAAGGATTCTCGAAAGGTTCTGGTCATGCCTTCATTTTTCCCCCCAGGACGGTCCTTGCGGAGGATGAGCGACGAGATGAGCTCGTCGCACTGCATCATCGAGCGCCCGCGCCGAACAGCGGGTGCCCGAGGGCGCGCCAAAAAGCTGAGGATGTGTGTTTTGTGCCTTCTCCAGCTCCCCCTTCTCCTCCTCCTCCTCCTCCTCCTCCTCCTCCTCCTCCTCCTCCTCCTCCTCCTCCTCCTCTATCCCCCATCTCCTCCTCCTCCTCCTCCTCCTCCTCCTCCTCCTCTCCTCCTCCCTCCTCCTCCTCCTCCTCCTCCTCCTCCTCCTCCTCCCCTCCTCCTCCTCCTCCTCCACCTCCTCCTCCTCCTCCTCCTCCTCCTCCTCCTCCTCCTCCTCCTCCTCCTCCTCCTCCTCCTCCTCCTCCTCCTCCTCCTCCTCCTCCTCCTCCTCCTCCTCCTCCTTCCTCCTCCTCCTCCTCCTCCTCCTCCCTCCTCCTCCTCCTCCTCCTCCTCCTCTCCTCCTCCTCCTCCCTCCTCCTACCTCCTCCTCCTCCTCCTCCTCCTCCTCCTCCTCCTCCTCCTCCTCCTCCTCCTCTCCTCCTCCTCCGACTGACTGACTGACTCGAGGTCCTCCTCTCCTCCTCCTCCCCCTCCTCCGCCTCCTCCCCATTGCCCGTTGCCCTCTCTCCTGCCATCCCCCTGCTCCTCCCACCCCTCCCTCTCCTTCATCTCTTCTCCTTATAATCCAGCTATTATAAACCAGGTCTCCCTGTCACATCCACAGACGTGTCAGTACGGCGGTCGGGCGTTTCGCCTGAGCATGTCTCACCACTGGTAACAATGAGCTGCGACATCTGCCACAGTCACACGGATAATAAAGGTTGGCTTTCAAAATGGGGCTCTCCGTGTTACCCCGCGCACAGTCGCTGTAAAACTGCGGCGAGGAGGGATCTCAAAATTGTGCTCTCGCTGAAGCGCTGCGTTATAGAATTTCTCCCTACCATCCTGTGGTGACGGGTCCTCGTCTTGAACAGGCAACGCCCCGAGCTCCTCCTCACTCCTCCTCCCCCTCCCCCCATGCCTCCTCCCATCCTTGCCTCTGCCCTCCGCATGCCACGTCGGCACATCTTTCACACGCTTCGTGGCGCTACCAAACGCTCCACCGAAAGATCCAAAAAACAACGCCCGCATGGCACCGCCGCACCCGTCTTGGCACACATTTCATACGCTGCGTGGCCCCACCTGGAGACCCACCGAAGGCCCAGTGGCAGCGCCCGCATGGCAGCGGCGCGCCCATTTCGGTACACCTCTCGCACGTTTCGTGGCCCTGCAGGGAGCTCCACCGAAGAAAGCCCCAGTGGCACCGCCCGCATGGCACCGCCGCGCCCGTTCCGGCACACGCCTCACACGTCTCGTGGCCCTAGGGAGCTCCACCGAAGGACCCAGTGGCACCGCCCGCATGGCAGCGCCGCGCCCAATTCGGCACACCCCTCACGCGTTTCGTGGCCCCATGGAGAGCTCCACCGAAGGCCCCAGTGGCAACGACCGCATGGCGCCGCCGCACCAATTTCGGCACACCCTTACACGTCTCGTGGTCCCAGAATGAGCTCCATCAACGGTCCCAATGACGCCCGCATGGTACCGCCGCATCCCGCACCCATTTCGGTACACCCATCGCAAGCTTCGTGGCCCCATAGGGGGCTCCACCGAAGGCCCCAATGGCAGCACCTGTATGGCACCGCCGCACTTGTTTCGGCACACCCCTCACACGCGTCGTGGCCCCATAAGTAGCTTCATCGAAAGCTCCTCACACGTTTCGCGGCCCCATGACGAGCCTCACCGAAGGCTCCAGAGGGAGGGGCCGCATGGTGCCGCCGGATCCATTGAAGCACAACCCTCACACGCTTCGTGGCTCCACATGGGGGCTCCACCGAAGACCATACTCACAACCGCGGTACTCACAACTACATATGGCTGGGCCCGTCGCCAGGATAGTTTTCCAAATCATGCAATCGTTCATTGAGGACGAGCCCTTTTAAAAAGGGGCCGCTCGTGAATTAGAGATTTCCCCTTCCGGACGTAGAAAGCTAAATGAAACATGCGCAACAGCTGGGCGGGTGGAGGGGGCGTCTTCTTTTCAGCATGGGGTTCTCGCTTGATCGGAAGTGCAGCATTTGTTTTGTTTCTGGGGGGGGAGACCCGGAGGGCGGACATCCCAGCGAACACCTCCACAAGCGGCGCGTCAGATATGGCACGGGAAGCGGCGCGTGAGACGCAGACGTGCGGACAACTAAAGCCAACTGAACTAACCGGGAGACACGTGCACGGCTTGCCAGGAAAAATGAATCGCACCGGGATAGAGACATCGCGGTGGCAGACTGCGGTCGCAGCCGAGACTGGCCAATGCGACAAAAAAAGCGGCACCGAGAGTCCAGGGAAGACGGGAGAGGAAGAGGATGGAGGAGGAGGGAGACACAATACCCACTGAGTGGGGGGGTACAAACCGAGGTGCAATACGAAGCTCCCTGGATGACCACGCAAACTTACACGCCCTCGAAAGTCGAGCGGCCTGGCGGCAGCGCGAAGAAGTAGTGTAGCGATCCCCGACGTGGTGTGATCAGAGATGCAACACTGTGCACTCGTTGCGCTTGTGGGGGAGGGGTGCGGTCCTTGCTCGAAGCGGGGACCTCGCTGGACACCCTGTTGGACTGTGCGGTAAGACCTCTCTCGCAGGTCTGGTTGCCCGCCAGAAGGATGCAGGGCAATGCTTTTCCAAAATGGGACTCTTACCCAAATGCCCCGGCCAGAAGGCACTGGTCAATCAAGGGGACGCTCTTCGTCTGTCGTGATGAAAGGAAGGCTGTGTGGAGTTACGAGGAGGGGGCAAACAGACGTACAGACCACCGCAGCGTACAGATGTCCAGGGCCTGCCTCGGAGCAGGTGGGCGAGGCAGCGGTCTGAAGCTGCAGGTAATGAGATTGGCGAAGAACCCAACCATATAAAGTTGTGAATCCGAAAGAGTGAGTCCCACCTTAAGCGGAAAACCCCTTCGGGGCACCGCCCGCATGCGGGCTGTGCCCCTGGAGCCTTCGGTGAAGCTTCCCGTGGAGCCACGACACGTGTGAAGGGTGCGCCGAAACGTGGGTGTCGTCCAAATGCGGGCTGCGCCACTGAGCCTGTAGGAGGAGCTCCATGTGGTGCCACGAAACGTGTGAGGGGTGTGCCGAAACGAGGGGGTCGCCCAAATGCGAGCTGCGCCACTGGGGCCTCAGGTGGTACACCTTATGGGGCCACAAAAACGTTTGAGGAGTGTACCGAAACGGGTGTGTCGCCTACATGCGGGCGGCGTCACTGGGGCCTTCGGTAACGTGTGAAGGGTGTGCCGAGACGGTGGTGGCTCCCACACGCGGGCTGCGCCACTCGCTGCCATGTGGGCGCTGCCACTACGGCCTCTGGTGGAGCTCCCCATTGGGTCACGAATCGTGTGAAGGGTGGCCCGAAACGGGCGTGGCGCTGCCATGTGGGCGCTGCCACGAGGGCCTCCGGTGAAGCCCCTCATAAAACCACGGAACGTGTGAGAGATGTGCCGAAACGGGGCTCGCGCCCACATGCGGCGGCGCCACTGGGGCCTTCGGTGGGGCTCCCCATGGGGCAACGAAAGGTGTGGGGGTGTACCGAAACGGGAGACGCGGGGCGCGATCTCTTCAAAACGAAGACTCAACACCACAGGATGGTTGGGAACAGTTTGTATAAAGCAAACTGCCAGGACAAGCCATGTCAAGTCACCCTGTGGGAGGGAAAGGAAGAGGAAATGCTCTCAACTTCTGGGGGTCGATGTCGGCGCGCGAGGATCCAGGCTGTGCTGCGTGCGTTCGGGGTCACTGCCGTCGTCGTTCGCGAATTGCCTTTCCATGCGCAGCCAGCATGGTTTGCCGCAAGGGCTAACCGCTAGGTGTTGTTTATGTCGTGACTGCTTCGGGTCGGTCGGTAGTGCACGCCTGTAACGTGGAGGAACCCGTGTGTCAGCATCGCATCGATTGCACTGCCACCCTGATCTCCTGTGCCCCTTATGTAAGATTGGTACGCAGGAAGGGGTGCCAATTGTTGACGCACCGTATCCATTCAAGGGGTGTATCGACACTCTGCCAAGGCATCTCTATGCTATTTGTCTTTGTGTCATGGCCGAGTTGTGAATTCTGTGTTTGTGTATGATAGCCTGTGCCTATCGTGTCGCACGTCTGGTGTACTCCATGCAAGGCTCCGAGTCTACCACCTAGTTCGTGTGATGATTATCGTGATCGGGCACATCGGTCTTTGTGTTGTTCGAGTCGTTAGTGGCGGTAGCTCTGCGCCGGGGAGCCAACAAACAAATCTGATCATCAGGCGGTGTGTGCGTTGTAACTGCTGTCTCAACGCCACGAACAGGGTACATGTAGCTGCGCCATGAAAAAAACAGTCGGCGTGACAGTGCCATTGAAAAGTCGGAGTTGGTGTTTCAGTGTGGAGAGATGTCTTGCCAGCTCTTTACTTAATGCGCCCATCCAACTGTTTGTCGCCGTTGTATCTCGTTGGGTGTAGCCTGGCATGGACTTATGAGGGGGGGACTTAGGACGGGAGGGTGTATTGCAACATCGTTGATGCATATTGGGATTACTCTGCTCTCCCTCGTCCCGGTCTTCCTCCCCTTTCTCCCCCTCCTCCCATTCGTACCCCTCCTCCTCTACCCCTTCCTCCCTCTCCTCGCTCTCCTTCTTCGCAGCAGCATCTTGGCTCAAGGATTAAATATTCACCTGTGCACCCAATGGAGACCAGTGGTCCGCTGCTTGCATCTGTCACTCTGGCCTGGTCGCCCAATCACGGACCCTTGCCTGGATCACCCCAACGAAGGACTGTGAACTCCTGCAGGAGTACAGACACACGTGTGAGTGTGAGCGGCTTCTGCTTCCGCCAAGTCGCCCGTGGCCCTGAAGCCCAATGGCCAGACCGTGTGCAAGACCTGCCAGAACTGGGCCTGGAACTCGCGCCTTCAGAAGCAGAACGGGGCGGAAAGGCAAAAGGCGCGCGGCACGCAGCAGCACGACGGCTCCCTGCACCC